CGTTCCCACGCGATCAAGTTTCGAAATGTATCCTGAAGCAGTTTACTATGCACACCATCTTTTTGAACCGTACATCAATTTTGAGGTTTTGAGAACACAAAATTTCAGAGTCGTCGTTGTATCGGAGCCAGCATCGGAAACGTTGGCGAATACGACAGAGGCTTGCTCTTACCAGTAGACGCATCATCCACAATAAAGTTAATTGTTATTTTCTTGTCCGAAAGCGGCGAATTTCCTTGTTCGTGAGGTTTTCTTAACAACACCTAGGATTCAATGGCGCTAAAACATATACAGACTTTCAAATTTCAAATAACCTTTCATTAGTCATTTAATCAGAGAACTCAACATGAAGAGAATCTGATCAAATGTTATTCAAACAATGCGCGCGGCGAGGAGAGGGGCGCGAAGGAGGACAGTATTAGAATGTAAAAGGAACGACTTTGCTTTAAGATAAGATTAGAATAGCTCGTTCAGGATTTCCCCACAGATTTCGGATAAACTAGCGTTGCCGGCAGCAGCCACTTTCCTGAACGCGCTCAAGCAGAAAGTGCGGGGCTACTCAAAGGCACAGCCTTTTGAACGCAATTATTACCAAAATGGTGGTCACCGTTGGTTTCTTGATTTGAAAATAGACTCACGATCCCAAAAGACTACCACAGCTTGGCAAAGAAAAATTTTATAAACAGTTCAAAAATCAAAAGTAAACGATGATAACAAAACAAAACAATTATTATTGTTTATGGGCGCTCAGAGAGAAGCTGTAAGAAAGCTGAACATGATTATCTTGATGGGAAACCAAAATCGATCGGAGAACATTGACCATGCAACAATCAAAATTTCCTATTAACAAGGTGTCTTACGCTCCACATTCATCGTCACCCCGAGATGGTTCCTGCTTGTCCAACTTGATAAGGTCATCGATGCGCAGAATAGTGATTGCTGCTTCTGTAGCAAACTTGAGGGACTTTACCTGAAATCAGCTGATTTTGTCTTGTTCCATTTCGCTTGAAAATCTTTATAAACCTACGCACTTTGCTAAGAAGTGGCTCAATAACCCCAGCAACGCGGTTGTCACGAATATCGCCAGCTTCCAGGTCAAGTCCAGCCCTGCAAAATCCATTCTCAAATACTAAGGAAAGGTCCGACAGAGATTTTACGATCAGGGAAGGATTAGCGCTGAACGAGTTCGAATCCTCACCATTTCAGATGCTGCAATTGCGCATTTGTTTGTGCCTTGTGGTGGAAAGCGCGAAGCTTGGCTACGAGCTCGGTCGAGTCCTTTGCAGCATTAGCAGACAGCGTCTTAGGTATAACCAAGAGCGCTTGTGCGAACTCAGCAACAGCAAGTTGTTCGCGAGATGACTGAAAAAAAGGTTAATGCAATGATAATTTTCTGGCCCACATTTGATGAAGCTCAAGTTCGACAAATGTCGAAAATTGTGAAACCAAGTAGAATGAAGTTTCACTAACTAGTGTGGTTGCGAAGGCTTCTAGCCAAACGTTCAAGGCAGTTTCCACCGCACCACCACCGACTACCAAGCGACGACTTTCTAGAGCGCGACGAACAACACAAAGCGCATCGTGAACAGACCGCTCCATTTCATCCAGCATGACATCGTTGGCTCCTCTGAACAAAATTGGCAATGAAGGCGAGCAAAGAGAAATTCTGAGGAAAACTAGAGCTATATGGAATCCAAATCTTTCGAAGATTTGAAAAGCTTATAAAGACCATTTCTTTTTTATCAAATAATGATAAGGGGAAGGTAATTTGCAGAAATATGCAGTTGCAAGAAAGCAACCGTGAAAACTGACCTGAGAATGATTGAACTAGCAGTGCGAGCTTTGGGACCTTTTACGAAAATAAGCTCATCATCACTTATTCGTTCCTGAACAACCTCCTCGGCGTGCCCAAGAAGAGACGCATCAAAGGATTCATCGCCTTCCAAGTTCGCTAGTGAGCTCACCAGAGTTGCTAAAAGAATGAAAGATGGTGGTATTTAGTCCCCACAGAAGTCATAATGGATCTAGTGAAAGAATTTACGGAAAGGAGGAACTCATGCCACAACAAAAACACATCGCAGTTCTCGAAATAGAAATTTTCGACACCTAGACTTTGCGAGCCAGGGTAATCTGATAATTTTCCCTAGGACACTAGTTTCCATACCAGAACTCACCTCCAGTGGCTTTAGCAATTCGCTTCAAGTCCACCTTCTTACAACGTCGTACCGCCATTGCACCCGCCTCAACAAACTGCTTCAGACAGAGATCATCAATACCTGAAAACAAACACAATAAGCCCTACATGCATAACAGACAAGAGCTAGGACTTTCAGCGAACCTCCAGTGGTGAGTATTACATTTGCTCCTGCTTTCAAAATTTTCTCAATTCGGCGTTTCGTGATGTCGAACTCTCTAAAACGCATTTCCCATATCAGAACGACCTGCTGTATACACTATTGCGGTAGAACTCACTCCCGCCGGATAGCCTCCAGTTTCTCCGGGGACTCAACAATGACAGATATTCCAAGGTGCATTTTTGCCTTTTGTAGAGAAAAGTCAAGGCAAGCAATCTTTGCGTTTGGAACTGAGAGTGGCATCGCTGAAACAACATTGCAGTATGACAAAGAAACAAAACATTTCAAACAAGCAAACACATTTTTCAAATTTAAGCCCTTCTGACCTTGGCTAGCCACTGTGCAATTCAGAGCGTATCCCTTGATGAGCATTGATTCGCGAGCACTCTTTCCATGCGCTTTCAATACATTTACGGCAGCAATTGGATAAGTTATCTAAAAATACACATTCAGCGACTAATTGATGACAACTGATTACGTTACCTTGCCGGTCGAGTCCGTCACCTTCACAGCTTCGGCTGCATCTACGCAAAGAGCAGCGAAGAAGTCAGAGTCTCTAGAAAAAGCATAAGCAAATTAACAAGAGGAAAAAAGATTACGTCAACGGCACTTACGATCCAATGAGTTTGCTGCTCATAGATGTTTTTGCAGCTTCGATAAGCGACTGTCGGCCCAACTCGTCAACGGAAAATGACAAATTTTCCTGGAAACAAACATTACCAAGTACTTCGAGTGGTTTGCGTTGCGTTCACCAGAGGAACAGAAAAGGCACGAAAAAGAGAACTGAGAAAATTGGATAGAAAACAGAAAACATAAAATAGCATAATTTAGGAGAAACCCACTAAACTAACTATTGCACACAAACCTGCATGTATTTGACAGCCTCTTTACAAGCGAGCCTATAACCGTTGATGACGGTAGTGGGGTGAAGCTTGTTTTTGACAAGCTCATCGGCAGCTTTTAGCAGTTCAGCGGCAACGATGACTACTGAGGTGGTACCATCACCAACCTAAAAAGTACATATACGATACACTGATACACTTCACGACACTTCCTTGTGAAACGCAATATTTGAGCTTATCCACTAAAAAACAACCAAATAAACATTAACGAGCAAAAGCAGCAGAATTGATTTCAGTGTTAGATTCGAACAAAACTGAGACCTGCCAACTTTTGAATGATGGCACTAGTGTAAAACGTGACTAAAACTTCTGTGAGAAATTCTTCTTAGGGAAGAAATAATCAAATAACCTTTAGATTGTTCAGCAAATTAAACGTATATTGATATGAACAACATTTAGCCACACCAAAACGATCCACGTCAAAGACCTTCATGAAACCTATATGCTCAGAAAATAAAATATTGAGAAATGATAATATACCTCATCATCCTGAAGCTGCGCTAACTCGACGAGGACTTTCCCAGCCGGATGCTCTACTTCAAGTTGCTTCAGAATAGTAGCACCATCATTAGTTACAATGACATCCTTGAAAGTTCACATTTAATAAGCATAATCGTGTTATGACAGGTTCTACAGTTCATCGATAAGCCGTATATTCATGAATGAGCTTTACGAAACTGAAGCGAAAAAATTAGGTTCGAGCCGATGCTTTTCGTTAGGTTGGTGTTAGAGGGCGCGATCCGTCGTAGGTTTCGCTGATTCCCGCGAGTTTCGCGATTTGCGCGCGATTTGCGCGACAACGGGTCACGGAAATCACAAGTGCCGCCATCAATACTGCAAGGTGTTCTCCAATGCCGCCGCCACTTCTGCTTGATAGTGATGGCTGAATGACGACTGCCCTCATGATTCCACTTGTTTGATATTCAGTGTTTCAATTGTTCAAATGGGGCACTTGCAATTTTTGCGATCCGAATCATGAGCATTTCAATGAACTGATAGACATTGAACATGAAACAAGTAGAATCACGAAGTTCGTCTTCCAATCTTCACTGCCAAGCAGAATTCGCAGCAGGATTAAACAACACCTCGCAGTATTCATCGGGCACTTCCAACTCCTGTGATCCATCGCAGGTTTCGCGAAAATCGCGAAAATCGCAAAATCGCAAATCAGCGAAACCTGCGACGGATCGCGGACTCTGACACCAGCCTTAAATGACTTAGCAACACATCGTATCTAAAACTCTCCAACATCATCAACAAGCATCTTGTCGAGCCCAACAGGACCAAGGGAGGACTTCACAATATTTGCGATTGCCACAGCAGCAGTCACTTAAAAAAGGATTTAAACATGAGCACCATCCAAACCCAGCGAAGAAAAACTTCTTTTTGTGACTTCACTTGAAATTTACATGCATGTAAAATTCTGCGTTCTGCACTAACAACTTCAACGCAACACAGGACCTTTTAAAGCATGATGCGGATGTTTTATTCGAATACTATGTAATCTGGAATGATTAGTTTTTGCTCTAAATCCTCGGTCAAAGAGATTACTTGACAGCCAAGATCGAAAATGGACATTCATTGTGGGAACTAGGTTCATTCCCGTGTGTAATGGGACCAAGATTAAAGTCCCAGGGTGACGCTTTTATCTGAAATTAGAAATGAGATTTTGAACTACGAAGGTTGTTACGTGTATTTATTGGATCTCATGCCACAAGCTCCTTCAACAAATTCTAAATATGTTCACGTAGGCTGTAGATAGGGCACACCGTGTAGTAAATTATACCCGAATCTTACCCACCATCGTCGCCTTCTTCGAGCTCAAAGTGGAAAGAGAGAAGAGCTATGTTTTTCGCGCTCTGACGTAAGCAGCTCTACTGAGCCACAAACCGATTGAAGCCAAAAGCGGCGTCTGCATCGCGGTGCATCTCCTTGCCCTCACCAACAGTGAGGTATCAGAATAGCTGGATCTTCTCTGCTTGGGAGACTACAGCTGGTAGACAAACCCTCGTTCAGAGAGGTCATCAGTGTCGGATTTGGAGAGCCTGTACTCTTTCCTGGGAGCCACTCCACACGGGGCTCCCTGCTTTGTGGCCACCACATCCTGATGTTCCAGATGCACAATTCGTGAAGGTTCTCGCTCCTTCGAAATATGCTTGAAGCCTCGCCAAAGATTCCCCCATGAATTGACCACCGATGACAGGAGTGCGACACGCACTCCGTCCATAATTTGGTTCCTACTCCACCCGTACGCCCTGGTTGAACAAAGCCACTACTGCAGTTGAGAAGCTCAGGTTTCATGATAACCACACCTAGAATCCTCAGGGACTGGATCGAACAGAAGAGGGTGAAAAGTGAAGAAATTCACCACAAGGTCGTGCTCCACCTCTTTTGGTGCGTTCTCGAGTAAACCACTAAAGGCATGTCAATCATTATAGCTATGAATTCACTCAGTGTAGGCAGATCAACGGCAGAGACTCACGGTGAAAGTCCAACAACTGCCGTCAAAACTCAAAAAAGTGTGTACGCTCCACGACACCTGAGACTACACGTTTCGAAAATGAAGCGATTCTCAATATCGAAGCTTAGCTGAAAAGTCCTACCACATTCATCGTGCAGCGGTAATCATCCTCTTTCGAAAGACATCTGCCCTTTCTGCTCAGCCGCCTTCGTGCCGACAAAAAATACAATTCCCACGAGCACCTCAAAATCAACCTCACTGCCTTTTTCCAGCTCATAACTGCCAGCCTTTTGAGAGTTGAATAGCCATTCCTTGGTTGGATGTTGGTAACAAGTCACTGATAGTGGTGGTACATATAACGATGATAGGTTGCACATGTGCTTGGGAAAAGAGCGGGCTCAAACATAAGTTCAAAATACGCACGAACTTCTGAGACAACCTAAACTTGCAATGTTGAAGGGTTGCATGAGAATTCTAGTAGTTTACCGTAGGTCGCACTCATGTATGAGATGTAGAAAAGCCCAAATAAAAGAAATCCTCACCATTCTGAGTCCGAATACTTTGACCTGTGGTGCGTCTACCCGTAAGGGCGAGGAGAGCTTCGGCACCGGATGCCATTTGATTAACACACCCAAAGTTTCTCGCTACAATAGCAGTAAAACATCGTCAGACAAGTCAGCATTAATTCATACATGACGGATGAAGTATATATCAAGAATGCTCGTATTCAATTCTTTAAAAACGATGAATACCGCCATTGCTCGTACGATAAAAGGAAAGCTCTCACAATGTCTTGGGATAATTTTAAGCTACCCCTGCAACGACTTTACTGTCTTAAGACAAATGAACTTGCAGCAGATATTCGCCGCAAGAGATTCTGGAACATAGCCAAAAGAATGTGAGCAAGTTTTCGTGCCAGGACCACCGCGATTGTCGGCAACGGACTTTCAAACCAAGCCCGAAGTTTGGCAGCTGCTGTGGGAGGTCTCCGTCAGCTGTTTAGCGCTTTTGGAGGTTTAGTGTAATGACGAGTTAATGTGCCTTGTCTGCACCATAAAATCAAGACCAATGGTCACTGAGAAATTAGAGGCCGTAGCAAGGTTACTTTTCCGAATTTGATTTTCGATAGGTGGTAAATTTGGCTGGACGGACTGGAGAAAAACACTAAGGTCTCCATTGCAAATGCATTCAGATACATTCCAGTCCGCATTCACCATGCGAACAGTTAAGTAGATGTGCAACCTAGGCCAGTGAAAGCTTGCTGAAATGGCCCAAGAGCTTTACGGCAACTTCCCCTTCCCAAACCGATGTGTTGCCGATAATTAGTCATAAAACTATGCAAGGATTGGTCCTGGTACGAAGTTATACGACAGTGCCTGGGCTGGACCATCCAATTATGTTAAAGAATCAGGATAAACTAAAGCAATTACAACAATTTAGGGTGCTAACTTAGTTGGGGGGGGCACGCGGCGGCGCGGCAGTCTGCTCACCTGGGCTCTCTCGAGCGAGACAGTGTAAACTCGAACATTCCAGCTTTTCACGCATGTCAAGTGCCCCCCCCCCCCCCCCTTGCCTACAATTCCGACATGCCAGGCGAGCAGACTGCCGCGCCGCCCGCGTGCCCCCCCCCCCCAACTAAGTTAGCAACAATATAGCTGCATATACGTGGACAAATCTACAGTGTAAAACAGTAAAAAGGTGAAAACGTAATCGTAAAATCAAAGGACCGGTCAGTGGCCGCCCGGTCCCGCGACGAAACTCTGCTGGGAGCCCCAACATTCAGCATCGCGGGTCGGGGACCCCAGCCCCTACCCAACATTCAGCATACGGCCCCATCTGTCCAGCTTTGAAGGAAACGTTGAGAGAATACCGTCATATTCCTTCACTTGATTTCTGCCGTATCTTAGGTTATTTCCACTCCTAATTTTCGTAAAACCACTACAAAATGAAAGACGACACACTGGCAGCTGTATTCCTTCAATCGCCTTACGATAGCAACCTTGAGAATAGCTCTGGTAGATCGCTTGGCAAAAAACCAATTTTTTTTTCTAGAACGGCACACGTTCTCCTAAGCGGTATACCTCACTTTCGGTCTTCAAGATGTCATAAAGAGGCAGGCTCCTTCGACTTCTTTTCCCTTCCCAAGTCCGGACAATCCTCAGAGTCATATACGAATATTAGCTACGCAAAAATTCTTGATCTGTGGTGCCCCTCTCCTGAGCGGACCCCAATAATTGCAGGATAATTGCTGAAAAGCTGCTATTGTAACAAAATCAAAACAGCACCAATATTCATGGCTACAAACAACTATAACAAAATATATGTCAAACACCCTAGGGATGGGAAATGCTTAGCTATTTATCGTTAATTACTGACAATATTTGCAGGAAATGGCAAATGAGAGATAAATTACTGAAAAAACGTAGCAAAATTGCAAAAATAGAATCAAGGCGTTCGTTTTCACAATGTTATAACCCAAATACGGCTCGGATCTATTCACGATCCCTCGATGAAGAACTCTAACTACGTATACACGTCGTCATTCGCTTCTTAGAAGCATTGCAAATGATTAAGCTTAACAATCGTGACAGTTATCGTCGCAATATTCTCCTTTTGTCATCGTCTTCGAACACCGTTTCGCATGGGCTAGGATGTGGAGGGGCGAGGTTCGATTGCATGTCCGACGTGCCATCAACCGGTGTGTTCAAGGCCCGTGGAATACCTCTGCCAACACCCATAGCGTACGAGGCACTGCTCTCTCCGCCAACCATTGACGCGTAGTCATTTGTCTAAAAAAGCTAGTTAAATTTAAAGAAACCAGTAAAAAAATTCAAAGGTTCATGCGCCTTCCAGCTCATTTGGGAAGATGGAAATGTTCCGACTTCAAAAGCAGAAAAGCATTCTAAGCAACTTGAACCTCATAGTCTTCATAAGCAACGTACCATTGGACTTTCACAGCCATTTCTAAACCTTCGTGACGAATCGAACACCGTTATCGGGCTGAACGGCCAAGTTTGATCGGCTACCTGATGCGGTCCTGCGGGCTGTTGCTGGCCGAATGGTCGTAAAACGTTACCGTGGTGGCCTAAAATTAGAAAAGAAAAGAGTAAAAGTGCTCTGCATTTTGGGGAACGTGCCGTGTTTATCGTGGTCAGTGATGGCATAAACAGACAACAACAACCTTTACCAGGACAGTGGACCCCCTTCAGAACTGTAAAACATTCTACTCCTACTACATACATAGATGGACGGGCAACATAAGGTCACGCGCTATCACACTTAAGTATGCGCCAATGGTGATTGTTGAGCACAGCAAGGAACACGCACCATAGTGATGCATTCCGAACTGGCACACCTGAAGAATCACCTGGAGGAGTATCCAGGTTTGGGACGCACGAGGCATAGACCAGGATGTACAAAACACTCATGAACTGAGGGGAGCCCTCCATTGTGAGAAGCGTGCATCGAAATGGACAGCGCTAAGAGCAGAACTTCTCATCGATCCAGATTAGCCCAGCGATCAAGAGAAAATAAGTGAAGATGGGGATCAGGATGGTGGGATATGACGAATGACTAAAGATGGGTAAAGCTAACTTCATAAATCCATGCTTCGTCAATTTAGGGACTATAAAAATGGTAGGGATACGCAGTGTTCAAGGTGTGCTAGCGAAGCTGAATTGAGCGCCTCTAGTGGGTTACGTTTTAGGGATCGATAGAAATGGATGGAAGCTATCAGAAGAGGAGGTCAAATGTCTATAGTGAGCTCAAGCACCGGGGCGGACGTAGCTTAACTCAAATGTTTCATTACTATCGATGCGAGCTACGATGTCGAACTAGCATGCAAACAAGTATAATCGAAAACTGTAGTATACTGCTCCAAGCAACAGAATGATGCACAAATAACTGCTCCGAAATTTCAAAAAAATTACCGCCAGTGGGCGCCGGTGAACCCACGTAGGTCACCTCTGTCGTCGCCTCAACCTTCGCTGTTCCTCCACTATTCTGAGTGCTATCAGCACCGCCCCTGACACCAACTACTGCATCTGAACAATTAGAGGAATTAACAAGTTTTGATACTGCAATTTTCCAAACCACTACACTGCATATTTATGACTGCAAACGACAAAACATACCACCAAAGACATAGTAGCACTTTTCTGTAAAAGTAAGCTTGCTGACTACATGACGGATAAGCCCAGCCTTGAGCAATTCAGCTGCGTAATGGCGTGCCGCTTTCCTATCGCTTAAATCTTCTACATGCTCCAGCAACCAATCAACGAGATCACGGCCTGGAGAATAAGTGGGAATTGAGGAACAAATATGAAAATCATTTTCGAAATGCTCACAACAACAAGAGCATGGGTACAAGGATTTTCAACCACTTTCTGTTTTTCACCTGCAAACCAGAATCTGGCCTCGCAAGCGCTCTCAAGATTATTACGGGATCCATTGTTATTGACAGACGTTGAGTAGCTTTATGCTCTGCAATTTACGATTTAACTATCATCAATAGAGCATTAAACTTCGCTAGCAATGACAACAAACTAACGACTTCGAATCACAACCATAGCCGGCACAAACAAAAATGCAGGCAATGAGTCAAAAAAAATTATAACCAATGTAATTCAGGGTTATTTAAACGAGATGAAATAATTACAATAGAATTATTACCATTTTGCTCATTTTCTCGCCTTCTCTCAAGCTCCTCAATATTCACTTGAGGCACACCATGCCGTCTTTGCTCGTACAGCGCTCGCTCCTAGATCAAACATTCAAAACAAATAGCAATACCTTATATCTCATTTTCACAGCTAGTACAGTTATTCCAAACGCTTTGTGCAGGACATAATGAGCACACCTCCTCATCGTCGGTTTCCCTCATGGTACCTAGCGTATTTTCGTCAAACGTCTCCGTCAGCTCATCAGACAATCCCCTTTCACGATAAATGCGCTGTCGCTCAGAGCACTGCCTGAAACAATGAAGTAAAATCACTATAATCCTGAGCACAGAAAAGTAGAGCTCTTTACAAAAGAAAAGAAATTCCTTCAAAATGGACGTACGCGGCGGTTTGAACCCAAAGTGAAACGTCGAGTGGAAGCGTTTCTGATGCAAGCGTTGAAAGCGGATCATAATCATTGCCTCGAGAATATTTCGCAACAAACAACACCAACGGCCTATAATAAATTTTTCAGGGCTTTTAAATCCTCCAAGATTAGAAATGCAAGAGTTTAGATGGACTAAAACAAACTTTTTTGCTGCGGCAACTTCCCGGAGAACACGCACGGCCTGTGCCTCCGTGAGATTCTCAAATGATCGATTGTTTACTTGGACGATTTGATCACCGACTTCTATACGGCCATCCTTTGCAACAGCGCCGTCTATAAACTTAATTATCAAGGTGCCTTCTGCAAAACTGAGTTATTAGCTCAGAATTTGCTTGAAATCCCCATGAGAGAATAAAATATAGTCCACAATTCAGCGTGGTACAATGCTCTCACCAGGCAATATTTCGCTGACGAGTATGCTACCCTGAAAACTTCCAACGGAAATACCGAGGTACGGTGTAGATCTCATCGACAAGTTCACTTCTAGTATCCTTGGAAGAGACAAGCTAGTCATACTAAATCATATAAACTTTTAACAATATATCAGCGGAACAAATGAAAATAACTGCAAATTGCTTACCTGCTTTCTGTTATTGAGCTTATCGTGCTCGGCACATATGCCTTTCGAAAACGCTCCTTACGCGGTTTTCGTCGACGCACCTTACCCCCGTCGTTGTAGCCGCCATTAGCACACAGCGGCTCGTAAAGCGACGAAGATGCCGTTGCCGAGAACCTGAAACCGATAAGAGGTCTATGCTCTACCATTCTGCTATGGTACAAACTCAGAAATAAGCTTCCGCTGGCTTCACTTCACATGTAATGAGTGTAATGAAATAGGCGCTTCAGCATTTTGCTGTACTTCAAT